ACAGTTATTGTTTAAAAAAATTGCTTTCTGTTTCTTTGCTGGAGCATCACATAAATACATCATCTGTTTTATGTAATCTGAACTAAATCTGTTACACTTAGTATTAATGAACAGAGTATTTGAGCTTCAGAATGCAACTATTTGTACCAGAAATCTGACTAAGATTTATGTATATTCATCAATCTATTGTTGTCTCTTTTGTCCTGAGAGTTAGTCAATACTTTTGTGGAGGAGAGAGATATCTGTATTATTTTTATGAATACTATGAGACTGTTTGGTGGTTATGATGTTGCTTGCCAAAGGTTAATGAGGGGTTCAAACCGCCTTAGATGGTTTTTGCATATCTGTAGAATCAAAATCAAGTGGTTTAAATAACCCCATCTCTGTGCTCAATTGACAGTACAGTGGTGTGACAGGATCAGGCCTGAATGGCTACAGAAAAGTGTTAGAAGGAAAGTATGTAAGCCCTAGATTAAGTAGCTGAAACAAAAAACAGGACTGTGTAGCACTTTAAAGACTAACAAGATGGTTTAATAGGTGATGAGCTTTCGTGGGCCAGACCCACTTCCTCAGATCAAATAGTGGAAGAAAATTGTCACAACAATATATACCAAAGGATACAAATAAAAAAAATGAACACATATGAAAAGGACAAATCAAATTTCAGAATAGAAGGGGGATGGAAGAGGGTTCTAAAGAACTCTGTCATGTCCAAATAAAAGGCAAAGGCTCTTCTCACATTTAGTGGATGGAGGATGGCTTCCCTATTATCCATATAAGGTTCGGGATACAATGTTGCGATCTGACATGCAGAAGTCACATTAGGAAGATTCTTACCAAGCTGCAACAGCCTGCTGTAGGAGCCTGCAGGGTCAGAACCAAGATAGTAGAAGGGGAGGGGTAGCACTAAAACCCAGGGGAGGCATTGCCGCCCATGCCAAGCTACCTGGTTTCACGAGGCATACCTGCGCCGGTCGACAAAGGCTTCCTTGTCGACCGCGGTTCGTCCAGACTGCCCTGATCTGCTGACGAACAGCTGATCATCAGTTGGTTGGCAGAGTGTGGCAGCAATTTAAATTTAAATGAAGCCGCGATTATTTAAATCGCAGCTTCATTTCCCTCTGCCGATCAGCCTAATCTACGTGGCTCTGTCGACGGAGCCATGTAGTTTACACACACCCTAAGGGTGCATCTACACAGCATGGTTTAACTTGAAATAAGCTACACAAATTGAGCTACAGCAGTTGCGTAGCTTATTTCAAAATTGGGAGCGTCTACACAGCACTTATTTCGAAATAGAGCACTCTTCCTCCAACTTCCCTTACTCCTGATACAATGAGGGCTACAGGAGTTGGAGTACGAAGTCCTCCAGCTTGATAGTATTTCAAAATAACTGCTGCTGTGTAGACGTGGACTAAGTTATTTTGAAATAATACTGGTTATTTCAAAGTAATGTTGCTGTGCACACGTACCCTTAGAGAAAAAGATGTCATCAAGAAAAGTAGCATAAATTGCTTCTCTTGATAAGAAAAACAACATGCTGAATACCCACAGGAAACATCGTAGACGGGAAAAAATGAAAAATATATAAAGCCACTGCCGTCTTTAGACTTCCTTTGAAATGCAGGCTACAATACTCTCCGCCACCATATACCATCTTCTAGTAAGTGACTATTTTCTCTTTCTTGAAATTGGAAGAGGAACACCTATGTAGAGTAGAACAGAATATAGGCCAGCTTAAATCTCTTTAAAAACCACTTGTTTGAAAGAGTTATTTCCAGAGGTTTCCCCTATTTTTAAAATAGGAATTCTATCAGAATAGCCAGAGTCTTTCAAACCTCTGGACAATATTTCAACTTTGTTGTTCCTTTTAAATGTATTCTTATTTTAAAAAAATAATATTTTACCTCAAGTGTATTGGATACAGATGCTTGACAGAGTAGTTTTTCAAAACATCCTTCTAAACATCTCTCTTTTCCAGCTAGGGCTTGCTCAGAAACAAGAGGAGGATGTAAAACAGTTTCACCTTCATCTGTTCATAGCAGACACAGTAATAGCTCAAAAAGCTATGCTTGAGACACCGATTTTATAGCTATAGAAATTACAGGGTACTGGAATCATTCTGGTGTATATAATGGGGGCAATTGGAAAATATGCATTTAAATCTATCACATAACAGGTGGTGGGGTTTTGTTTTTGTTTTGCCGGGTTTTGCTTTTTCATGCTGAATGATGTATAATTTAGTCACACTTTGCTAGGGAACTAGTGGTGATGCACACAATCTGGAAAGTGGATGAGAATGACCAACCAGACAGTATGGCCAAGGCACCCCGTGGGATGTGCTGATGCGATTCACCCCAGAAGGCTCTAGTTGCAGTCTAAAGCTTTCCTGACCTAGAATCACTGGGACGGTGTCAGATGAAAGGGAGTATATACTTTTGACACGGCTAATTTATCACTGGTATCAGTGGGTACAAATTATATCTCTATATGCCAAAGGGCCAACTGAGCTCAGAGTATATCTGACCAGAAAAATCACTGAGCATTTTTTGCTTCAGGGTAAGAACTATTAAATAGCAGGATGGTTTTATTGTTTCTCAATCCCTGCTAGGAAAGAACAGGACAACTAGCCACAAGTATTATGGTTCTCTTTAATTTACTTCTTTTGCTGAGGCAGGATAGCGAACTGGAAAAATAGGAGTTAGAGATCAAAAAGACATATGAGGCTTCCCCGTTCATGGATCTTCCGGGGTCCCAGATGGTGGTGAGAAGTGGGGATAATGGAAATGACTGTTTTTTTTATAGGAGAGGTGAGACCCATGGCCAGAGGTCTAGTCCATGCACAGAACAGTGTGATAGGATTTGGCCCTGCATTATTTCCTCCCTTTTCTAATTAATTAATATGTAGCAGATCCCTCCATTGCTCTACCAGGACTACACAGCCATTCATCACCACTTCAAATGTATAGTATTTAAATAATTTTCAGTCCACATCATTTGTTCCTGTCCAAGCCAATGTAAATTCATGTTTTAAGTTTCCTGACTTTTAAAATCCAAATATATTGCATCTGATTCATGCAGTAATTTTGTAAATCTGTCCCCAAAATAATCACATCCATGTATAAACTTACACTGCTCATGGACATTTCTATTGTCCTCAAGATGTTCAATACGTCCCCACTACTTCCTTAATATCTCTTTCATTATTTCATCAAGAATAGTTGTTATTTATACTTGCCAGGATGGTTACTACCAAGATCTTAGTGTTTCTCTGTCTTTTATTTTGTTGTTTTTTGAAAATTGGTACAGCTAGGTCAATGGTCTGATAAAAGGTAGCAATTCCAATATTAGAGACTATGAACATTGTGGATAATAGCTTAATTAAATGAAAAGTACTGTTTTTTAAAAAAAATAACATGCAACATAAGAGTTAGTAATTAAAATTCTATCAAATATATTTGCAAAAATATATCAAGAATAAATCATAACTTTTATTTATCCTTTTTTCCTTTCTACAAGTTTCCATTACGTGGGGAAATAAATGAACCTCGGACTTGTCTGAGTTTTAGTGGGTTGAATGGGCCAGATCGTCAGTAGGTGTTAAATGTGATAGCTCTGCTGTTTTCAGAAGAGCTCTGCCTATTTACAGCCGTCAAAGATTGGCCCAGTATTTTTCATTGCAATAACAGATAGTCTTCATTGTTTATATATATTCCCATCACTTTTTCAATAGCATAGATTGGAAACATTTTGAAATATTTCAGCAATTGTTTTCTTTTGGAATGATGATGAAGTATTAACCCTTAAAACACCCACCTCTAATAATTTAATATTATGTCCCCAGCAGGCAGGAAATACTTTACTTAAGATTAAGCAGTAGTTTTTTGTTTTCACCTTTCCTTTTCAATAGCTCACTAATTATTTGCAAAAAGTGGTTTTGATCTCAAGCAAAGATGAATGTTTGGTTTTGTTAAATCACCCTATTCTCATGTACATGGGCTCTTTTTTGTGGTTGCCAGTCATTTGAGTGTGGGTTTTCTGTGGGTAAAAACAAACAAAGAAAAGAGTCCCCCCCTATTCTTTTAAGAGAATGAGAAAGAGGTGGTGGGGGGGAGGGGACCCACAATTTTTGGGTCTTTTGACATTATAAAAAAAAATCAAAATCAGCAATTTTTAAAAAAATGTAAAGGTCACCATTGAGGACCTCAGTTAATCATTTCTTATCTGATTAATGATTTTAATCATCCAATTTATATAAAGAATAATACTTCCCAGTAAAACTAACTAAACAAGGAAATGCCTCAATTTATGGCCCATTCTAAGGTCCAGATGGAATTCTAAGATCAACTTAAAATCTCTTTTCCAACATTCTGTATGTGCAGATTACTGATGTCAGTGAGAATTAGGTTTGCCAGGTATCTGGTATTGAACCAGACAGTCCGATATTTTTGCCTCCTGTCCAGTAAAAAAATTCAGAAAATACTGGACACCTAAAATGTCCAGTATTTTCTGATTTTTTTTTCCCAGACAGGAGGTGAAAATATCGGGTGCTTACCAAGTTCCACAGGGAAGCTGTCTGGCCTGACGCAGGGAAGCAAGATGACGGGCAGGTGCTGGCAGCCTGTTAGGGCCAAAAGGCCTCAAAAGCGTTTCTTAAAGGTGCCACGCTGGTTTTTTTTTTTTTTTTTTAATTTTTATTTTTACTTAACAGCTCTCAGGGTCCTTTTTTTGGTATTTTTTCAGAAACCATCTGGCAACTCTAGTGAGAATCCAACACATGGAGGGATGCAAGAATAATGAGAGCCAAAATCTGCCAGGTGTACATGAGAAATTATGCACTAATTCATACTATTACCATATAATTGAGACTAGCTTTTGAAACACACATGTGTGTGTGATTCAAAATTCACTTTAACTTTTCTTCTAACAGTAAGTTACCAAAAATGAGAACACACACAACTTAGTTGCAGAAAAGAGTTTTTAGACATTAAATATTTTAGGCTTTAAAGAGGATCAATGTTCTACCTTATGGCATGTATAGGAAGAAATTCTTTAACTTAAAAATAATGCTTCCAAGCCTTTAAAAGGAGAAACAATTCAGTTGAAAAATGCAACACTTTTCTTCGATACATTAGGATGCTGTAATATTTTAATATGGCTACCTACAAAAGGGCTATATTGTCCCATTATATAATCCACTATGTAAAAATTATTTTGTTTCAGCTCTCAGGAAAAAAAAAACAAAAAAGCTTTCTTCCCCGAGAGGCTACTGAAACATCATCTGCTCAGTGTTATGGGCCTGGAACAGTATGTAAAATAAGGCTTAACAGTTTATTTCAATATATCTTGTTTTGGTTTTGTTGGACATGATTTTATTTTGCTGCCTCTTTCCTCCCTCCCCACTGACCTAATATATTGAGATATGCAACAATTCTATTATGAGGAGGATTATTATTTTGTTTTTAAAATTTAATAATTTGAAAAGATAACAGACACTATTGGGTGAAAGCCATACAAGAAGTGTCAGAAATTCCCCACACTTCTCTGATGGCAGAAGGCCTCTTTAACTTTGCCTACCGGCCTCAACATACATCCCAGACTTATGGATAACACCATCTTATGCCTTATATGTTATTATTTAAATAAGAGATGGCTATAAACTAATCCATGAGATCAAATCATTCGGGGTTGAATTCTGCCAAACTCATTTATGTTAAAAATATCTTGCTGCATGAGTAAAATCTTCTTGAAAACTGCCATTTATGTTTCAAAAGGATTTACAATTGAGTTGAAAAAGTTTTAGTTATCCACTCAAGAAGAAGAAACAATATTAGGTGACATACATGACAATCACCTGACAGGAATAATTTACTTGAGTTGTTTACAAATATCACAGGCTGAAAATTGTTTGGCCAAACTTCCCAGTGTGCACTGACAAATAATGAACATATTTATAGAAAATCAATCAAAACAGTTTCACGAACAGAGAAAGGAGCTAAATTCACACTAATACTCTCAATGGGGGCCAGATTCTTTTCTTCTTAATCACGCCAAATAGGATCTCATTTCATGGATAGAGATACTGTGCATGGTGTGTGATGGGTTACCAAAGTCACATAGTATTGTTTCTGCTTTTTAAGTGGATGCCTAAAACATTTGAGTATGGGAAAAACCAAATGGCAAACAATGAATCACACAGGTCTGAGGTGAAAATATCTATCAGAATTTGCATACCCCTGAATATTCATAAAGAATCATATGAGCCCCTGAAAAGCAACAGCCATGTTTATTTGGGTTGTTTATTTATGTATTTATTGGGTTTTAAAAAATATATTTATTTGTGTTCTGGTAGTGGCACAACATGCCACGTCCTTGTAGAACTTACAATCTAACCTGTTCTGCAGGAAGTTATATCTAGAGCATGGACTAGGTGTGGGTGGGATTTGATGAACAAATGGATATTTATATGAAATCAGTGGATATTTTTGCAAATGACACATGAAAATCGGGATAAGGAGGAGTTGTCTCCAATCAAAGCTCAGTGGCAGCTGGGAGGGGCTTTTGTTCCCTGAATTTAAGGAAGTATAGTCCACTGTGACAATCAGTGTTGGAGGGGGTGGGGATGTGAGGGACAGAGATTGCCATGCTTGTGCCAAGGTATGTCACCATCAAACTGAGTAGGATGGAAAATCTAGTTTTAAAGATGGGCCTACACCAAGTCCCTGATCACCACAACTCTGAAATCTGAAGCATTTGAAATGATAAATCTCTCAGTCCCAGTAAGTCAACCTAAAAACAATGTCTTGGCTTTCAGAACATACAGCTTTACTAGCTGTTCTGTCTGAAGCAGTGTTCAGATTACACCACACCATAGCGATAATGTGGTTTCTATCAGACAAATAAATATGTACTGGTTTTTACCACAACAATTATCTCTTCACTGTTATATTACAGCTTATCAGCATTGTGCCTGTCTGCTGGCGAGTTTATAATAATTGTTTTACTTGTTGAGAAAATAATTTTGGATGTGTGTGATTACAGGTAGACTTTAAAAAGAAGACGACATGGAGGATCTGGATTGTTATTACCCCGAGCTTAACCTCACGTGCAACGATTATAGTGAGAGTGATGATTTTCTCAGGGCCAGCAAAATTTTTCTGCCCTGTATGTATGCATTAGCTTTTGTCTTTGGGCTGATAGGAAATGCTTTGGTCATTATCATATACATTTTCTGTGAAAAACTGAAGACACTGACAGATGTATTTTTAGTGAGCTTGGCTACAGCTGACTTGCTTTTTCTTTCTACCTTGCCATTCTGGGCATATTCTGCTGCTCACGAGTGGATTTTTGGCTCTGTGACGTGTAAAATTATACGGGGCCTGTACACTTTGAATCTGTATACATCAATGCTAACCCTCACTTGTATAACTATTGAGAGGTTTATCGCTATTGTCCAAGCCACCAAAGCCCATGTGAATCAAGCCAAAAGAATGGTGTGGGGGAAAGTTATCTGCATTTTAGTTTGGGTGATGTCAGTAGTATTTGCAATACCACAATTTATATATAGTACACAATCCACATATGATAAGTCAATTTGTCATGCAACGTACCCATCCCGTCTCGTAGAATTGGTTCTTAAAGTACTTCAAATGACTCTTGGATTCCTTATCCCTCTGCTAACAATGATTATCTGCTACTCGATCATTATCAAAACTTTACTACATGCCAGGAGTTTCCAAAAGCACAAATCCTTAAAAATAATATTTTCTGTAGTAGTGGTGTTCATTCTTACCCAGTTACCCTATAACTTCCTGATACTCTTACGCAATATATACTTAGAATTCTACCTGGACTACAATTATGATGCTGCGGTAGTCATAACAGAAGCAATTGCTTATCTCCATGGCTGTCTCAACCCTATTCTGTATTTCTTTATTGGGGCCAAGTTCAGAAAGAACGTTCAGAAAATCATGAAGAACATCAGACATGTTAAGCACCAAGGCTTCATGAAGCAATGGCAAACCACTGAAGAGGAAGGCTCAAAAACTTGCACTGCTTCCCAGAATGCAGAAGCAACAAGCATGTATCCATTATAAAAACCGCATAGAGGGCTCTCGGTTAACTATTTGCAGCTTTGTTACTGGCATGAAAGTGAAGGGCTTGTGTAACAGCCACATGAGACTAGTGTAGTACAAGCAGATTCCAGGCAAGCTTCCCAACACACCCAGTGCATCTCACGCCTGACATTGTAGCACTCCTGCGATTCCTGATCAAAAACTGGTAACTGGGTGTAACTCTGCAGTAGTTTTATCATAGGCACAGATAAAGATTTGAGGAGGAGCTCATCAAACTCTTTCATGGGTGATCTAAGACTGGGTTTGAACTCAGGGTTATAGCGAAGGAAAGTTCTAGCCAAGTCACTCTCCCAGAAGGGCTGGCTATAAGCAGCAAAGATATTTAAGAGCTTTGTTTTAAAGATGCTAACAGAACAGCTGTGATTTGTTGTGACTTAACCTAGCTTTTTATATTAAAATGTAATTTGTTTAAATGCTCATACTCAATCTTCCCATTGTGATTTCACTTGATTTTTTTTGGTCTGAGTTTTCCCTTTTCTTTATCCCTCTGAATTCCTGTCTGCCTTCAGAGGCAGAGTGATATTTCTGTGGTCACAGCAGAATATTAACCAGTCTTCAAACAAATACCAACTCTCTCTAACAACCTTCCTCCCCCCCAAAAAACCTATAAAAGACCTGATTCTGACACACATAACAGCACCTACCACCCTATAACAGTTTCGTTGTAGCCAGTTTGGTTCCACTTCTTACACAAAGATATTGGTCTCAACAGACAGTATTAAACTCATGGGTCCACTTAGTTGAGTATCCTGTTTCCAACAGCAGTGAGGATCCACAGGAAGGCCCAATAAACCCTATGTAGGCAGATAAGGGATAATCTGCCTCCAGGAAGGTCATCTCCTAACCTATATCCTGAAGCATGAGGTTTTAAATCACTTTCAATACTCTTTTAGCATTAACTCTTGTAACTCTAGAGAGCCTTGTAACCCATATAAGCATCTAGTCTCTCCTCCTAACTCTCTGTGCACCCCAGAATGCACTTCCCTACATGCTACCAATGCCCCACTTCGTGCATGTACTGAGGGGACTCTGTTCCCTATGGCTACAGCTACACAGGGGCTGTGTCTAGACTGGCCAGTTTTTCTGGAAAATCAGCTGCTTTTCCAGAAAAACTTGCCAGCTGTCTACACTGGCCGCTTGAATTTCTGCAAAAGTACTGACTTCTTACTGTAAGAAATCAGTGTTTCTTGCAGAAATACTATGCTGCTCCCGTTCTTTTGCGCAAAGATTTTGCGCAAAAGGGCCAGTGTAGACAGCTCAGATTTGTTTTCCGCAAAAAAGCCCTGATCGCGAAAATGGTGATCGGGGCTTTTTTGCAGAAAAGCGCGTCTAGATTGGCACGGACGCTTTTCAGCAAAAAGTGATTTTGCGGAAAAGCATCCGTGCTCTGTTCCGAAAATGCTTTTAATGGAAAACTTTTCTGTTAAAAGCATTTCTGGAAAATCATGCCAATCTAGACTTAGCCTATGAGTTTTGCTGCAAGAGCCAGTGCAAATGAAGCGTGGATTAGCATTTTCTCGTGCTTCATTTGCATACTCTCTTTCATTCTATTTTTGTGCTAGGGGCTTTTGTGCAAAAACAGGCAGCGTGAGGCATAAAGATCTTGTGGAAAAAGGGGGTTTTGTGCAAAATGGCCATGGCCACACTGCCTGTTTTTGCGCAAAAACCCCTAGCGCAAAAACAGAATGAAACTGAGTATGCAAATGAACCATGAGAAAATGCTAATCCACGCTTCATTTGCATTGGCTCTTGCGGCAAAACTCATAGTGTAGCCATAGCCTATGAGATCACTGCTCAGATTTTTCCAGAATGCAGTGAGAAAACAGTGATACCAACAAAGCTGGAGAGTGCTGTGGATGGAGATATATGGTCAGGCTTTGAATAAAGCTGCTGTGTGGGCACAAGTCAGTCATGATGGCTGTAATCAGGAAAGGAAAAAGTGTCATAAACTGGTTAAAAAGAAGTTATAATGGTAGGGCAGATGTGGCCTTCAAAGATCTCGTCTTAACCACAAATGCTAGTGTCAAGAAGGTGTTAACAAACAAATGGGTTGTATGTTTCATAGTATGTCTCTCGACCGCTTTTACAGGATATGTATTATTTACTCCTTCAGTCCTACCAATAACTTTTCTATAAAGAAGAGAAAATATTCAAAGTAGAAAATGTTCAAAAGTCAGATTCCCAGCTGGGATAAATCGACACAGCTCTACTGAAATCAAAGAAGCTGTGCAAATTTACATAAAAGATTTGGCCTCTCCTGTCTCAACTCCCCCTGTATTTATATGCTGTGTGGATTTATGTTTGCTGAGCTGAGCTGCAAAGGCCTGATTGTGGTACCTATACTTCTGGTGCATGCATCTCACTCACCACAGAACTAGCAGTAAAATCTCCAGTGCTATAAAAAGTAGTGTTGTGTGTGCATGTATTAACAAGAGTGCACCATGGGTGCAACACAACATTTTAACTGTCTATAATTTATAGTATCTTTTCAGAACATGAAACCACAGAATAAAATAATGAAGAAAACGCAAATGACCCAGAGGTAGCAAAATGTATCATGTCTGACTAACATTTAGTACACGTCACTGCAGGTGGTACGTGGATGGAGCTGATCAGCAGACCTTACATATACTAGAGCTACTCCGCAGTTCCAAGAAAAAACAAAGAAAAAACAGTTTCTTGCCATTTCAACCAGAAAGGACACTGTCTCAACGACTTAACTACCTGCATTCTGCTATGAAGACCTTTTACATCTGCACTTGAAAGGGAATCCTCTGAACTGTCATTCATGCTAAAATTCGACACTCTCTGGGGGGGGGGGGGTGGAAAAAAACAACTACCTTACCCATTACAAAGATAGCTTCCCCAGTTATCACCTCTAATACCATTATCTCACAGACATCTACCTTTCCCCACCTCTAATATCATTAACTCACAGACACTTACCTTCCTTCCCTTCCCCCCCCCCGCATCCCCCTTCTGTTCTGAAACCCCCCCCGCCGCATCCCACTTCTGTTCTGAAATGTGATTTGTCCTTTTCATATGTGTTCATTTTTTTTAATTGTATCCTTTGGTATATATGGTTGTGACTATTTTCTTCCACTATCAGATCAAAGGAAGTGGGTCTGGCCCACGAAAACTCATCACCTAATAAACCATCTTGCTAGTCTTTAAAGTGCTACATAGTCCTGCATTTTGCTTCAGCTACACCAGACTAACACGACTACATTTCTATTACTATTCCGCAGTTCCAGGCTCTCTCTCAATACCCACAGGAAAGAAGCAGACAAAGGAGAGATCTCTATTCAGATCAAAGGAAGTGGGTCTGGCCCACGAAAACTCATCACCTAATAAACCATCTTGCTAGTCTTTAAAGTGCTACATAGTCCTGCATTTTGCTTCAGCTACACCAGACTAACACGACTACATTTCTATTACTATTCCGCAGTTCCAGGCTCTCTCTCAATACCCACAGGAAAGAAGCAGACAAAGGAGAGATCTCTATCTCCCTCTATATCCCAGTTACATGTGGGCACAGGGGAGATATGCCATCCTTGTCCGTTGGCCACATAAGGGTGACAAAGCAGAGGTAAGCAACTAGAGTAAAAGGAGGGACTGAAATGGTCCTGAGACCAAAGTAGAACCACTCTGGGACCCTTTTTAAGTTCACGATATTAAAGAATGAAGAGCAATGCATAGGAAATGGCTCTGACTAGCCAATGGAAAGCAATGAAGACTATTTCCCAGTTTTCTTATTTAGAGATTGTGAACAATGGGGACAGAATAACCACCACAGGGTCATGCAGAATTCTAATGATATGTCCAGATGCCTTCAATAGTCCTGATAGTTTTGGTGTCTTCCTCAGAAAGAGGCTGTCAGCAAAATGCGCAGAGAGCCCTGTCCTAACCCCAGAGCTCACATGCTCTTTCTCATGGTTGTGTTCCCAAGAGCTGACTCACGTTTTGCATCCCTAGACGCCTTCTGCCAATAAGAATGAAAGCTCCTGGGTTCCTAATTCAAGATGCCTTATACAGTCCTATTTTGCTGACTCGCGATAAAGGTCATCCTATGGCTTTAGGAAAACCTTTCTAAGAGTACGTCTACGCTTGCTCCCTAGTTCGAACTAGGGATGCAAATGAAGCCGACCGAAATTGCTAATGAAGCAGGGATTTAAATATCCCGCATTTCGTTAGCATAATCTTGCCCGCACGCTGTTCCGCTCGCCAGCTGATTTGAACCAGGAAGTGCGCTCCGGGACATGTTAGTTGGAATCAAACCCCTGGGTTTGAACTAACGTTACTCCTCATTTTTTTGCCATCATTTTTTTGAGGAGTAACATTAGTTCGAACCAAAGGGTTTGATTCGAACTAACGTGTCCCGGAGCGTACTTCCTGGTTCAAATCAGCTGGCGAGCATAAGAGCGCGCAGGCGAGATTATGCTAACGAAGCGTGGGATATTTAAATCCCCACTTCATTAGCAATTTCGGTCGGTTACATTTGCATCCCTAGTTCGAACTAGGGAGGAAGTGTAGATGTACCCATAGAATCAGAGAGCTGGAAGAGACCTCAGGAGGTCATCCAGTCCAGCCCCCTGCCCAAGGCAGGACCAATCCCAACTAAATCAACCCAGCCAGGGCTTTGTTAAGCTGAGACTTAAAAACCTCTAGAGATGGAGATTCCATCATCTCCCCAGGTAACCCATTCCAGTATTTTACCACCCTCCTAGTGAAATAGTTTTTCCTAACGTCCAACCTAGACCTCTCCCACTGTGACTTGAGACCGCTGCTCCTTGTTCTGCCATCCGTCACTACTGTGAACAGCTTCTCTCCATCCACTTTGGAACCTCCCTTCAGGAAACTGAAGGTTGCTATCAAATCCCCCCTCACTCTTCTCTTCTGCAGACTAAACAAACCCAAATCCCTCAGTCTCTACTCATAGGTCATGCGCTCCAGCCTCCTAATCATTTTGGTCGCCCTCCGTTGAACCCTCTCCAATGCGTCCACATCCTTTCTATAGTGGGAGGCCCTGAAATGGACACAATACTCCAGATGTGGTCTCACCAGAGTCGAATAAAGGGGAATAATCACTTCTCTAGATCTGCTGGCAATGCTCCTTCTAATGCACCCTAATATGCCATTAGCCTTCTTGACTACAAGGGCACACTGTTGACTCATATCCAACTTCTCATCCACTGTAATCACGAGGTCCTTTACTGCAGAACTGCTACTTATCCAGTTGGTCCCCAGCCTGGAATTCTTTGGTCCCAACTGCAGGACTCTACATTTGTCCTTGTTGAACCTTATCAGATTTCTTTTGGCCCAATCCTACAATTTGTCGAGGTCACTCTGGACCCTATCCCTGCCCTCCAGCATATCTACCTCTCCCCCTAGCTTAGGGTCATCCACAAATTTGCTGATGGTGCAATCCATCCCCTCATCTAGGTCATTAATAAAGATGTTGAACAAAACCAGTCCTAGAACAGATCCTTGGGGTACTCCACTAGAAACCGACCGCCAACCCGACATCGAGCCATTGATCACTACCCATTGGGCCCGACAGTCTAGCCAGCTTTCTATCCATCTTACAGTCCATTTATCCAATCCATATTCCCTTAACTTGCTGGCAAGAATATTGTGGGAGACCGTATCAAAAGCTTTGCTAAAGTCAAGGTATATCACACTGACTTGCCCATATCCACAAAGCCAGTTACCTCATCATAGAAGCTAATCAGATTGGTCAGGGACGACTTGCCCTTGTGAATCCATGTTGACTATTCCTGATCACTTTCCTTTCTTCTAAGTGCCTCAAAATGGATTCCTTGAGGATCCCCTCCATGATTTTTCCGGGGACTGAGGTAAGGCTGACTGGTCTGTAGTTCCCTGAGTTGTCCTTGTTCCCTTTTTTAAAGATGGGCACTACCTTTGCCTTTTTCCAGTCATCCGAGATCTCTCCCGATCTCCATGAGTTTTCAAAGATAATGGCCAAAGCCTCCGCAATGACATTTGCCAACTCCCTCAATACCCTTTGATGCATTAAATCTGGACCTATGAATTTGTGTATGTCTAGCTTTTCTAAATAGTTCCTAACTTGTTCTTTCCCCACCAAGGGCTGTCC